CCTCAGACCTTCTCTGGGAAATACCGTTTTTCCCAGTAGACCATAAAGCTCAGATGGGTGTGTGCAATCTCTGAACCAAATTTATTGACAATCTCCAGACTTTCCCAGAACTGTAAGTACCTGTCTCTATTATCATCTGGAGAGACAGACTTGAAATATCAGATAATAAACATTTTCCTTACAAAATACAAACTTGGTGTCAATAGCTTCAGAACCTTTAGTCACTCAAGGATAAGAGCTAATTTTAAACTTGCTAGATGATATAAAGGTGTGCACCCGCATAGGTCTTCTTGAATAGTCTGTGCTTTTATGCTCTTTAGTTCTCTTTGCAAATCCTTGGTATTTTTCTTATTTAAATTAGAAACAATCTTATTTTATATATCAATTCCAGTTCCCTCTTCCTCCCATTCTCCCATGCCCTCCACTGACCCCCATCCCATTCCTCTTCTCAGGATAAGACAGCCTTTCTACCTCCCTGCTGTTGTTGTGGTCTGTCAAGTTCTCTTGGCCTTAGCCAAAACTGGGTGTATCAGCGTTGCTGTGAGACCTAGGGTGACTGTCGGTGGCTTGCTGTTTCTGTCCTTGCTGCACCTTTTGGAAGTTGCCCATCTGCACTTCCTGTCTACCCTAGTATCGTTATTTTCCTTCTCAGGTTTTGATGAGGTTGAAGATTAAACTATCACAACTATTACTCTCTCTTCCTAGTTAGATATATTAGTTACTAGACTTACGTTTTCCAGCTTAGGACAACTCTATTGTAAACTCTGTTATGCCTTCACCCTAGGACTAGATATGTAGGTCATTTTGTTCTTGATTTTCCTTTTCTTAGAGCACACTTGTTATTCACTCTCTTGTATATAGTTTTGTATCAAGCCTAAATCTTTTCTTTAGACTAAAAAGGAAATTGTAGTGGGTTATTCACTTTGTCTCCTTCTGTGGCACTGACCACGCCCATTGGGGGGTGGAGCCAGGGGTGGAAGTGACCTGTGGAAGGAGGTCTGAGGAGGAGCCGGGGAATGCTCTCTTGCTGGAGGGTCGCAGAGAGGAGAGCAGCTGGTGGAACTTGCTGGTGTTCATCTGTCTAGGTTGTAAGTTATTTCTCCCTGAATAAACATCTATTTGGCCTATTTGATCCTTATTTAACTGCAATATCAAGTGTGAGGCCTTCTATGGGGGATCATCAAAATCTGTGCTATCATTTGGAGTAGGGCCTAGGCCCTTCCGTGTGTGTCTAGGCTGAAAGAGTATCCCTCTATGGAGAATGGGTTACCAATGTCTATTCATATACTAGGGATAAATGCCGTCCCATTACCAGGAGCTCCATGCACTGCCCAGGCCTCCTAACTGACACCCATGTGTAGGGGGCCTGGTTCTGTCCTATGCTGGTTTCCAAACTGTCAGTCTGGGCTCCATGAGCTCCCCCTTATTCAGGTCAGCATTTTCTTTGGTTTCCCTAGCATGGTCTTGACCCCTTTGCTCATCACTCCTCCATCTCCACAACTGGATTCCAAGAGTTCGGCTCAGTGTTTAGCTGTGGGTGTCTGCTTCTGCTACCATCAGTTATGACATGAAGGCTCTAGGATGGCATATAAGGTGGCCATCAATCTCATTTTAGGGGAAGGACCTTTAAGACAGCCCCTCCCCTATTGCTTAGATTCTTAGTTAGGGTCATCCTTCTAGATCTCTGGACATTTCCCTAGGCCAGATTTCTCTTTAAACCTATAATGGCTCCTTCTATTATAGTATCTCTTTTCTTGTTCTCCTCTGTTCTTCCCCCAATTCAATCTTCCTAGTCCCTCATCTCCCCCCTACTTCTTCTCCCCTTCCTTTTCTCCTAAGTTATCTATAGAATCCACACTTCCTTTTCCTTCCTTGATGCCTTCATTCTATTCTTCAAGGACCTGAAGTTAACATACATCATTGTCATGGTTTGACTATGAATGCCCCACATAGATTCATGTCTTTGAATGATCAGCCCATAGGGAGTAACATTAGAAGAAGGTATGGTCTTGTAGGTGTGGCTTGTTGGAGGAAGTGTGACATTGGAGGTAGGCTTTTTAGGTCTCAGATGCTCAAGCCACACCCCAGTGTGGCATTCTCTTCCCACTGCCTGAGGATCCTGATGTAGAACTCTCAGCTCCTTCTCTAGCACCAAGTCTGCCTGCATGCCACAATGTTTCCTGCCATGACGATAATGAACTATTACTCTGAAACTGTTAAGCTAGTCCCAATTAAATGTTTTCCTTTATAAGAGTTGCCATGGTCATGGTGTCTCTTCATAGCAACAGAATCCCACTAAGAAAGTCATTGAGACAGACATTTATAGGATTCTTTTCTAGCCTCTTCTCCCTATTGCTATACCAAGAAATCTTGAAAAGGTCTCTGGACTGCATGCAATTTCCTTCCACTACACAAAGGAGCAACACTGTAAAGAAGGTGTTCTATGTTAACAGGCACCTCCCCACTGTTGGCATCCAGTCTCCTTGTCTCTCTGGTCAGGCATGCCACTTATTACTGTTTCATCTTTCCTTAAACTATTCTTCCTTTCTTAAATGTCACATTTTGATTATTTTCAATATTATATTTCCTTTATATGAATGTTATCAAAGCCAGAAAGGTTAATGACTGCAGTATAGAGCTAAAGTCAGCCTTAGGACACAATAAAGAAAAACTCACAGAAAACACACCAGGTGGATGCATGGACCTATAGTAAATGGTGAGTTAATAGCATTTCTAATCACTTTTAAGCAGTACTGGTGAGAGTTTAGTGGTGTAGCCCTATGGTGGAGAGCTTAGATAGCAAGCACGCAGCCTTAACCCCAAACACTGCAAATATCAGAACATTTATCAATAAAGCAAAATTTATAATTATCATATATTGTGATGTTTATCATATGAAGGAAAAAACAAAACTTAGAAAATGGCAGCACAGAAATGGTGAAGGGAGGAAAAGCCTGCTGCAGAATATGGTGTAGTTACAGCTGAACGCAGACTGGGGGTGCAATACACACTGCAGAGTCTAGACAACCCCCATCAATAAAACAAGAGTGACAGCTAGTAAGATTATGACAGAGGTCAAATGAAACCAGAAATACGGAACAACTCACAAAAGAGGTAGGCAGAGGAAGTAAAAAAAAAAAAAAAAAAAAAAAAAAAAAAAGACAAACTAAAAATCAGCCAGACAACTCTATCAATAAATGAATTAATGAAGATAGCTATATATTATACTTCATTAACTCATATGTTATCCAGTGATTAAGAAAAAAAGCAAGAATAAACTACATGCTAAAACAGAATCTACTTATTTATAATGTAAACAGATAAAAGTAAACTGATGAGAAAAGACATATTATATACACACACAAACACACACCCGTATATTTAGTAAGAGAAAAACAATAACAAATCCCATGGATTAATTCATCGAGACACAACAACCCTAAATTTAAACATACACAGTCGACAGTGTGGACTAAAAACACAGGGAGGGGTTGGGAGTGCTGCTCTGTTGCAGGGCACTGGCTTGCACATGCAAAGATCTGGGTTTGAGCAGGCTCACTGCAAAAAAATTAGCAAACAAAACCAAAAGAGAAGCGCAAAATTGTGGCTGAAGATCTCAACAACTGCTTGTCAGTAACGGATAGTGCCAGTACATAGAAGAATGCTGATGGCACGGACTGCACCATCTGTCATCTTAACAGAACATGTGCCCCATACCCATAGAAGCATCTTGGTATAAACATGTTATAGGGTAAAAGCAGGCGGATCTGTTTTCTTCTTCTCCCCTCTGCTCTACCCCTGGTAATTTATTAAAGTTTTTCTTTTTTTTTTTTTTTTAATTTCTAAACTTTGTTATAAAAAATGTCACACAAAGAAGTCAAACAACAAAATTAACCAGACTCAAATGAACTACTATAGTTAGTTAGAATAGCCATGTGGTTCTTCCTCATCCCCTAATATTTAGCTGTTCTTTTTCTTCTTTCTAAATGTTATGTTAATAAAATAGTTAAAATATTTTATACATGAAAATGTACTTTAAAACAAAAAAGCAGACCCAGAAGTCTCCAGAGCAGTAGTTTTCAACCTTCTTATGTTTCAGCCCTTTCATAAAGCTCTGCATGCTGTGTGACCCCAAACATAAAGTTCTTTTTGTTGCTACTTCATAACTGTAATTTTGCTATTGTTATGAATCGTAACATAAATATTCGTGATTTCTGATGGTCTTAGATAACCCATGAAAGGACTTTTCAACCCCCAAAGGGGTTACAACCCACAGTTTAAAGGACTGTTGGCCTGAAGAAAACCTTTGTGCTTAATTAAGTATATATGTTAGTAAAAAAAGTTCTCAAAAACAACAAAGTAAACTCAAATGCAACAGAATGATGAAATAATCAAACAGGGTTAGTGATGCAGCACAGTGGCAGTGCACTTTCCTAGCACTTGGGTTCAAGGTCTCAACGCCCCCCCCAACACACACACACACACACACACACACACACACACACACACTAAAATCCCAAACAAACAAATGCACAATTGAGAAAAAGCAATAAAATCCAAATTAATTTGATTCTTTTAAAATCTAGGGCTGGGGGTTAGAGTGAAGACTCTGTGATCAAGAGCAGTTGCTCTTCTTGTAGAGGACTGGAGTTTGGTTCCCATGTTCCAAAACATACATAGCAGCTCACAACTGTCTGATACATTATGACCTCCATGGAAACTACACACCCATGGACACTGTACTACTACTACTACTACTCCACACACACACACACACACACACACACACACACACACACACACTGAGAGAGTACTGAATATATGCAAGCAAAACACTCATACACATAAAATAAATCAGAGTTTTGAGAGCACAAAAATATAAATAAAAAGTAGTTTGGTCATCATTTAAACATCATAGTAAAACAGATAGTATCACTGCATCACTAAAGTCTATTCCCATAAATATCTGCTGTGTACAGTACCACAAAAAAATACTCTACCTTTTTGTCGTACACATCTTGCCAGTTTACTCCAGAAAAGAAACTATGCCTCATTATTTCTTTTGCATCATCTGGCCCTCCACCAAGGCTGTAAAGACAGAAGTAAAATTAAATGAATGCAAAACATTTACATAAGTCACACAATAAAACATGTGTATATAAAAATTACTGTTACTAATAATTTTTAAATGCGTAGCCTTAAAAATAAATAACTTTAATACCTAAAATTTCCACACATACTACTAGATAAGAATCACTCTTAGGCCAAGATAAAAGCCAAAGGCTTTGGAGCAAGGCCTTAAGAAGCAAGCATTTCTGAGAGAGGGGGTGTTGAACAAATGCCCAGTACTCCATCTCTCAAGTAGAGATAATTGATTCAGCTCTTTCTAGGGGTTACAAGATTTAGAAATACATGGGCAGCACCAGATATAAGAAAGGAAGCTGTAACCTCTGTTCCTTTTTAAGTAACTGAGTCAAAATGTTCCTTTGTTAATGTAAATTTTGAAGTAAACAATTGGTTTAATCCCAATACAAGAGAGGCTGAAGCAGACATCTGGCTTCAGTAAATTCAAGGCCAACCTGGTCTACACAGTGAGTTCCAGAACACCCAGGAGTACAGAGAGAGACCAAGACCATATATCAATAAGAAAAACAACAACAAAACTATATCTGGAGAGCACTGTTCTGAATAAAAACTCAGACTCTTTATTGTCTCAGAAACAACATTGTTATCTATGAAATATCACTACAGTTCAATTTACTATGCAATTCAGAATATAAAAATCAAAGTTAAAACTCCCATGTTTTAAAGTTATATTTATTTCAACAATATGTGACTTAATAGGAAAAAAATAATCAAGAATTTTCTAACCTCCATGGTTTAATTTAGTACCTGTTCATTAAAAAGAAAATAGACATGAAAAAATAAGAATGGAAAAGAGGGGTAAGAAAGAAAGCAAAAAACAAACAAACAAACAAGAAACAAGAAAAGAAAGAGAAAAAGAAAGTAAAGGAACATACTGGAGTTTGGCGGTAACATAGGAAACTATCTTTGGACTTACTCATGTACAGACGCATATGTGTGCATGAGTTCATTATGATTTTTACTATTATAAAGGATATGACGTGTAGTAAATACATAGAAAAAGTATAGAATGTTTCCATGATCAAGCCGCCATGAAATTCTCACAGAAAACCTTTAATATTTGGCAATTCCAAATTCAACTATAAATGAGTATGATTTCAAATTAGTCTTGACACAGATACTGCCTTGTTTTGTTAGTGTTAAGGTCAGAGAAGAAAGTGACATGAGGAATGTGATCTGCTTCTGTCAGTGACTGCCGACTGATAGGAAACTCTCTGGAAAGAAGAACACTTAATCTACCTCTCCTGGCATTTACAAAGTCACACAAACCCAAAAGCTCTTTCACCAAATCTGTACTATGAACCTTTTTTTCATCACTTTCTTAAGTCTAAAGAATCAAAGCAACAAATCAAACACTGACTTAGAGGACTGGTCAATTTTGGTAGTAGAAATGCTACCCCATTGCCAATTTCAAAATACCATAGTAGAAAATCAAATCACTTTATGTATTGTTTCCACAGACACAACCTCAGAAACAAGATAACTGTAACATGGAACAAAATCATTAGTGATAAATTGTGACTTATTACTTTGCTTTCACTATTCTTGATTTGATTTGCATAACTTGATTTTTTAAAAACAGTTGAATAAAAGCTATAGCTTACAACATCCCTGGAAATATAACAGCTAGTTCTGTTGATCGGTACATACCAATATTAACACACCACTAACTAGAAGGAAAAACCAAACAGCTAGGGGACCAACTGTCCTGAATTGTGGCCATCAGCTGTAAGAGCTCCAGGTATGAGAAGGACCTAATTTGTCAGGTTAAACCTGACACAAGTAGTGAATACATGATTAGCTTTGCTGTGAAATGCAAGAGAGATTGCTCTAGGATCTACAGAGAATTCTGTAAATAAACTCTACCCCAGAGATGGACATTAGATTGTATAATATGATAGCAGAGTTCTTATCTGGAACCTTCAGTCTGGTGATCTTGTATTTATTTAAGATTTAGCATCTGATGCCTTACCATTCCTATTTATTCAAAACTGCATTCATTATGTTTTTTAACCCTTGCTTCAAAAAGAACCTACTTACTTATCTAGAAATTTCTGTTGTTTGTTTTTAAGATACAATCTTCCTATGTTGGCCTCAAGCTGGCCTCAAACCTTAACCCTCTTGCCTCGGCATCCTAAGTGATGCATCTTCCCTACAGACTTTGTAAAGTGTTCTACTCCCCTGCTCTTCACTATTCCAATCAGACCACTCCAGAGCTGCCAGGGCTGCCTTCTTATCACAGATATCTCATTATACCATCTTTCTTTAAAGCATTCTTCTGGTTTCTCATCCTTCCCCAAATAAAGATTATTTTCTAAGAGCCATACGATCCTTACCATAGGAGATAAATTAATGAGGCATAAATAATACAAACGAGATTTTGTTTGGACATCCACTTAAAGACACAACCACAGAACAAAGAGTGACCAAAGTTATCTGGAAGAGTGAGAAAAAAATGGGATAATTCACTGCCCCCCCAATTCACTGCCCTTGAAACCAAGTCAAATATTAGATTCTCTCCCACCCAAAAAAGATGAAATAGTAGGCACAGCTCTGCTTAGAAACAACCTTTCAGACAGCTCTGCTCATTATATAACTGTGAAATAATCACTTTAAATACAATATACTTTAAATGTAAACCTATATTGAGGAATCAGAACACTGCATACAAGATACATAAGAAACAGTATGCACACGTCAGGAAATTTGGTTTTCTATTCCTGTTCCACATGAACTTTCAGTGAGAACACAATAAATCACTTATCTTCTGTAGTGAAATGCTTATAGTGTCTACACAATCTACACTGGAAGGCCCCTAAGAAGCAAACTAAATCATAGGAAAGAACCCGGGGGAAATACAGGAAGAAAACTATTTTAAACTCTAAGGAAACACCTCACTCACTAAGATCACTCAATATGATGAATAGTCATCACAAAACAAAGTGATGGGGTAGGGGATCTTTCCCTTACTCGTACCACCACATGGCAGATGGGGAGGGTATGTGGAGAGTCAGGGTCAGCTTTCCTACTCTCCTTCAGGGTGGAATCACGTGTCCCTGACCCAGCAGGCTACTTCTAGCCTGCTGCCTAATGAGGTGCACACTTGTGGTGACGGGCAGGACCAGCTATCCCAGGGCCAGTAGAGTTGGCCCTGGTGGTGTTAGTGTGGGTGAGCCTGATCTGAGAACCTGAGAGCAGGAGAGCGGGGCCAACTTCTTGCTATAGACTGTACTGGGTTACCTACCCTAGGCAGTGCTGGAGAGCTTGCCAGGTGGTGAAGATAGGGAAAAGCTGCCAAGAAGAATGATCCAACTACCACCCAGGTCCAGAACCAGGGCTACAAGTTGGCATATCACAACATCTACCAACTGTATGAACTATTAGAGCATATGAAGGGAAGAACCTATAGATCCAAAACAAAGTATCCAAGAGGATCTCCAGAGACAGTCCATTATCAGTGATGTGGAAAAAGCCAGAGGCCTTGAAAGAAGACCAAGAACTCATGGCAATAACATTTGCAGGAGAAGATGAACATACTAAACAACTTAATGGATCACACTACAAGTCTCCCCTCCACCCCGTCTGTTTGGCTTAGATTTTGGTTTTTCTTTTAAATATGGTTTTGTTTGTAGGGGGAAGGTTACAAGGACAGAGGGCAGATGAGAGGGGACAGGAAGGTAAGTGGGATCAGAATGCATGATGTTAAACACACAAAGAATCAATTAAAGTTTAAAGAAATAAAAAGTAATGGTAAACTATTATGTATGGTTATTTCTGCTTAAAGCAGTATGAATTCTTAAAAAATTATTTTAAACTTATCTTTTACTTTCCGTTTATGAATGTTTTTACTTGCATGCATGTATGTGTATCTTGTGTGTGCCTGGTGCACCTCAGGAGGTCAGAAGAGGGTGTTGGATCCCTTGGAATTGGAGTTACAGATGGTTGTGAACCACTGAGTGGGTGCTGGGAACAGAATCTGGATCCTCTGCCAGAGCAGCAAGTCATTTGACCACTTACATGATCTCTCCAGCCACTTAGTCTTATAAATGTAAAATTAGATAACTACAGTGAAAATCTCTGCTAAAGTAGACAAAGACCACGTTCTAAGAATTCACATACTCTTTTTACTCATTAAAGAAGTCTCTTGAATATATATTAAGTATTAATCATAAGACACTAACACAACATTAGGTGAGGTGTTCTGGACAACCAAAACCATGAAGTCATCTATCTTCTAGATGCCTAAAGTTCAATGAACTTTCAAGGGAGTTCTGATACTTATGGGGAGAGCTTAGAGTCTCTCTGTCTCTGTCCGTGTGTGTGTGTGTGTGTGTGTGTGTGTGTGTGTCCGTGTGTGTGTGTGTGTGTGTGTGTGTGTGTGTGTGTATGTGTGTGTGTGTCTCCTTCTTCCTCTCCCTCCTCCCCATTGTTTTTGCCCTTTTGACTTTTTGGGGGGCCCAGCACCCAGCTCCCAAATAACTCACTCAAGGAGGCTTATTCTTAGTTATGAATGCCTGACTGGCCTTAGCTTGGCTTGTTTTTAGCCAGCTTCTTTTATCTCAAATTATCCTGACTACCTTTTCCCTCTGGGCTTTTATCTTTTTTACTTCTGTATTTCTCACTTTCCTTCTTACTCTGTGGCTGGCTGGCAGGCTGAGTGGCTGCCCCTGATGTCCTCCCCTCTTCTTCCTCCTCTCTCCTTCAACTTATACTCTCTGCTTCCCAGCCCTGCCTATCCTTGCTCCTGCCTCACTATTGGCTGTTTAGTTCTTAATCAGGACTATCAGGTGTTTTAGACAAAGAATCACAGCTTCACAGAGTTAAACAAATGTGGAATAAACAAGTCACACACCTTAACATCTCCCCCCCACCACCACACACGATGGGATAGGGGGAGAAGATATAGGCAAACTCTAGTGTTATGAGGCATTTTATAAATAAATAATTTCACATATTCGCTAGTGAGTATATTGGGAGTTAATACATAAATAGACAAAATACAGAGACTGACCAGTAAAGGCTATAGGAGAATTTAGGTCATAACCAAAGCGTACCTGTAAAATCAAAATTACAATGTCTCTCTTTTAAAGCTAATTTTGGAAAATAGCAATGTTATCCTAGATTAGTAGAGGGAGGGGAAAGTAGAAACAGGTGTTCTTAATATGATGTGTGTCAGGAGACATATAAAGCTCCAGAGACTGAAAGCAGAAAAGGGAACCCCAATGCCCTCAAGATCAAGCTTTAGGGTAACTGAAATATTATTTACTCATAATACACATGAAGAACTTCTCAAAATTTGTATCTGGAAAGTCTGTATAATACTTTCAAGTTACGAAAGAGTTGATGTGTTTGAAACTGTTCTAGATTATACACTAAAAAATAAGTCAGTATCTCAGTGGGAAAATGTCTACACCAAACACAATGTTTCCTGAAGTCAGTTATATTTCAATTAACTTTCAATTCATGAACTCTAACAAAATTCATCAGCAACATATGGATTGTTATCAAGGCTTACCGTTTATTGGGATCCTTTATCAAGAGCCCTGAAAGCAATGATTTTGCATCTGAAGAGAGTGTTCGGGGAAATTTAATGTCTTCCATTAGTATTAGTTCAAAGAGTTTCTCATGATCCTGATTGTAGAAAGGCAACCTCCCACACATCATTTCATACATGACAACACCCAGGCCCCACCAGTCTACTGCTCGGCCATAATCATTATCTTCTAATACCTAGAAGTGAAATTAGCAAAATGAATTATTAATTATTATTGTTACTATTATTACTATGAGACACCTTCACTATGTGGCCTTGACTGGCCTTGCTATGTAGACTAAGCTGGCCTCAAAATCAGAGAGGTCTGTCTGTCTGCCTCTGGGGTGCCATGCCCAGCTCATGTATGCATTAATGGTTAAAGCATTATTCAAAAGAAGTCCATTTTATATAAAAATGAATATATCTTCAATTACTTATATGAAACAGTTAACGTATTTTCAGAAACATTCAATATAAAAAAAGCAAAGGTCATGAAATTTTGTTAAATGAATATGAAGTACATCCATATCTACATAATCAAATGACAAGCATCAGCTAGTATGTTTGCTTAGTTTCTTTTAGGTCTACTGTATTTCACATTCTGAGTCCCTCCAACAACTTAAAATTATCCCATGCTGGTTAAAGATCACATACTGTGCGTTATACATTTTTCTTTAAGAAGTAAATGTAAAACAAGAAAGAAACCAGGGCTGGAAAGCAGGTTCAGTGGCTAAGAGTACCTAGGAGAGCTGGATTCCATCCCCAGAGCTCATATGGTGGCTTACAGCCATCTGTAACTCTAGTTTAAGGGGATCAGACATCTTCCTCTGACCTCTCTGGGTACCTGGTGCCATGATGATACACACACATACATAGGCAAAAAAAATTATACATACAAAATATATTCATTAAAAAAAACCTGAACATTTTAAAGAATGACCAGTATAGGATATGGCAGCAAAATAATAAATATAACAACTATTAGGAGCCCTTATGTTTTTAAATCTTTCAGATAATATTGAGTATCAGTATTTACTGTTTTGAGATACATATTTTATATTTGAAGCCCCAGAAACAACAAACTTTAGCCAGGTGTGGTGGCACAGGACTCAGGAGGCAGAGATCTCTGAGCTCAAGGCCAGCCTGATCTATAGGAGAGCCAGGGCTACACAGAGAAACTCTGTCTCCAAGGGACAGAGACAGGTGGGGGTGGGGAGAAGAGGAGGGAGAAGGAAAGGAAGAGAAAGGGGAGAGACAAAAGTTACAGAATCTTTGAGGTATGTGTGTGTGTGTGTGTGTGTGTGTCCGTGTTCGTGTGTGTGTCTGTCCATGTCCGTGTGTCCGAGTGTCCGTGTGTACATATTTGTCAAAATATGTAAGATGCAGAAACAATTTAGTTATGGCATAAAGGTATCTGTTACTTTTGTTACATTAGAACAATCTCTTCTAATCCAAACCTCCAAACATGCCATTTACTATGAGTGCTGACTCTAGCATGGACCTGCAGCCAGAGAATCCAAGGCTTTATGCATGGTAGGCAAGTGTTTTACCACCAAGTTATATCCTCAACTGCAAATATGATTCTTGCTCAATGGAATAATCTTCATCTAGAGACAATGCCCAGTACTTTATTTACATAACTACATTTTAATTAATATTAACTTCAGTTTATCTGATCCTTTTGAGCTTTCAGGAAGCCTGGTCTAGAATATGAATTTCAACAACTAAAGAAAAAAACCTTATTTTGAATTAATTAAATGCTATACTGAAATTTAGGTATTTCTGGCAGTTACCTACAACAAAAGGCACTTGAGCGGAAGTATTTAAAGATGAAGGACAGAATTTTAAAAATTCAACCATATAGTTGTTTTATTGCCAAAGAAACCTGAAAACATCTGCAACTTAAAAAAAGTTATTATAACTAAAGAAAATATTTTCTGAAAGAGAAACTTTAGTTTTTTAATATACAAAACATCGTTTACATATTCAAGTAAGTAATATGGGAACAAACAGAATACAAGGAATAGCTTCAAGAAGCATAAGGAATTTTTATTTCTTAAAAAAAAAAAATACAGCAGGTACCTTTTAAAGTAACGGCGACTATTTCAAAGCTCATTAGTGGAGTGCATTGTTTTCTGGACCTTTATCTTTATCTAACTAATACAGGATTACCTATTAACAAAACAAAACAGAAATCTAACTGGTCTAACTGTTCTTTAACTGGATTCCTATACCAACAAAGCAGTGGCACACATGAAAAGGGGCCAAATGTGGTTTTTAACCTCCTTTTCCATAAAACCATAAAAATCATAAAAGCTGGATTAACTGCCTTCTGAACCCACATTTCACCAGCCGGGTTCTCATCCCCAGCTGGCAAAACTGGCAATCCTTTATTTTTTGTTTAAATACCTGGTTTGCAGCCAGAAGGGTAGGAATACATAAAAAGAGGGTTTCATTTTGAAGAGAATAGCAACTAAAAACCCAAACTGCATTGTAAGAAAAATCCATTCGATAAAATAAAATACATTTTATTTAGCTTTGCAAAATAAACACTAATGTGGTTTTGTATCTGACACATGGACCTTCTTCGCTGACATGATGTAATTGGAATTGTCTGTTGTACCCCTTTGTGGTCAAAAATACTGATGTACTGCATTGTGTTACTGACATGCAGACATCAGCATTGCTGAGAACACCACCCTAACAACTCAGCCACACTCTTGAGGCTTTGCTATCAACTTAAAAAAAAATTGCAAGGTGAAATGTCCAAGAAATAAAAATGACTGCCATATTCCACAGACATATAATATGAAACATATTCCATTCATATTATGTATTTTCTCTCTTAAATGGAATGCCTTTAAAGCAAAATTCTGTGAAATACTCTCAAATTTCCAAATCAATTTATTCTAAATATAAGTCTTTCATATTAATTTTGAAAAAAGGTTTATTTCCTTAATCAAAGTACTTCTTTTTTAAAAATTCTAGTAGCATGTGAAATTTGTACTTTTTTAAGCTAATTGTTAAAAATCTCTCTGGCTACTTCAAATGATGACTTTTCTGTAGCAAACCAGATCAACATTTCATGCTCCCTGTGAAGCTGATGAAAGGTAGTGGTCTAAAGATATAGGGAAGTACACTTTAGACCCATTCTATTTACACTATCATCTTATTAGGCTATAACTGCAGATCAGAACATATTCTGATAACAAGTCTATAAAAGACTGACCATGATGAAATGACCTAAGTGTTCCTTACCTTAAAATCACATACTTATTTTTTACCCCAATCTATTTTTTTTTTTTACCCCAATCTACAAATGCAGCAGGAGTACAGTCTTCTAGCACTGCTTTCCATCCTAATACCCTTTGTAATCTTAGATGTAGCATGCCCACTCAACACAATTTCCACATAGACAAAATAAAACGTACTAAAAGAAAAGTATATGTCATTAAGTAAGGAGAGACCAAATCAAATCAAAAGCCAAACAGCATAAACTCCAAGAAACAGGCTGTTTCAGTTTCCTACCAGAATTCAGAAACTGCTTTACTTTCAGAGATAATAAAACCCAATATTCAACCAAGTCAAGGCAGATATCAGTTAACATCAAACATCTGGTAACATCTGATGAAAATACTTTTACTTATTAAAAATAACACTGGTAAGTAAATGAAAAACAAATTCACAAATAAGCTCTTAAACAGTAATTTTAAAAGATATTTAAAAACTGTGTATTTCAAAATGACACTATCAAGTAATGCTTCCAATATTAACATAATAGGCATTTTCAAAAACACTTTAATTCCAGTACCATTTTACCAAACAGGATTTACTGAAAGAGTAAAAGGACACCTTTCTCAGTCTGCTAGTCAGGCCAAACAATGCACTCGAGGCTAGCAATTATAGGAAGGCGATGTGTGCCCTGGAGTGACTTGCTGCTCAATCAATAATCCTGACAGAACAGATGGGAGGAAAATCAAACATCTAAACAAACTGTCGACACACCTATGTTGTGAAAGTAAACTGTGAACTTGGATGAACCAATTTATCACTTTTTCAAATTTTTTCTCTAGTAACCTCACATTTCAGGTAACATACATACATACATACATACATACATACATATATACATACATACATATATATGTCATGTAGAAACATGTGTCTATATAAGTCATCACACACACACATATGTTATTTATGTATCTTTAAATCATTTGATATTTTGTAAAATTGGTATTTGATAAAAAAAAATGAAGTTTTCTTATTCAGATTTTAAAAGATTGCCATTTCAAAAAAATTATGTAACTCATGAGAATTATGAGTTCCATGGCTTGTCAATATTTTTTCATATTATTTCATAACATATTTTATAATGAATGTTCAACTGCTCTAAGTCTTAAGGTACAGCATCAATAAATGTCATATGCTATTTGCTCTAAGTTGTATGTTATCTCCTAGCATTGCACAAAAGCCTGAAGGCAAAAGAAAAGCAAAGTTAGAACAGAAAAATCTCTTAAGACAAAAACCAACTGTATAAATATCAGTCACTAAGTTATACATGTTATCTTCCTATAATCCTACATGTATAAATCATACATGTATAAGTCTTCCTATAATCCTCTACTTTGTCACAATATACATTTATGAATTGTAAGAAACTGTCAGTGTAACTCAAGTAAAAATAGGAATCATTAGTGTTCCTTCAGTAACTTAAAGTTACTGTTTTGTATAACCTTGGGATTCAGAGAATTTACAATTAAACTTTGGGTTTTAACTAAAATAAAAATATTCTGATTCATCTTTTAAAAAGCAGGTTATGTGAGATGTGGCTAGCATAAGGACTCATAACTTCTAAGTTAGTATACTCTAGCTGTACAAGTCAAGGGGCATTTATTCTATTTTACCTCACATTTGAACAATATCCTATTATGGACAAATTGGGATAACTGTTAATGTTACCATAATAGGACCATAGTAAAGAAATAGATTAAATCAAGTAACAAGCCAACTCATCTGATAGAGGTTTTTAAATATGAATTCTAACTATAAAGCAGACAACAAGCGGAACTAATTACTGTGGCCCTGATGGGACTTAAATTTACTTAACTTTCCAGTAACACTAGTGATGACATTTTTCCAGACTGCCAGAAAAAAGGAATGTTTTCAAAGTCCCTCACAGGGACAGGTGTTGGAA